CTCTCTCTCTCTCTCTCTCTCTCTCTCTTAATATCTCGCAGCAGTCGAGAACGAAGATCAGCGGCAAATAAAGAGGCCTCGAGAAACGTTTGCCGAGAGGTGCACACAGACAAACAATATTCTCAGGTCTTTCCGTATTATATGCTACAGTGAGAGAGAGAGAGAGAGAGAGAGAGAGAGAGAGAGAGAGAGAGAAAGAGAGAGAAGCGAGGGTAGTCCTATGACAACATGAACAGAAACCGCGCCGCCGCGGCAAAAATGGGCGCAGCCGGCCCTCGCACATATGTACTAAATATGTATTTATTAAACAAACAACCGGCCCGTCAAAGAAGCCCTCTTTCGCTCTTTCTCTCGATTCTCAGCAACTCGTCTCCCTCTCTCTCTCTCTCTCTCTCTCTCTCTCTCTCTCTCTTTGCCTGCCACGAATCCAACTCATTCACTCGTTTCCTACTTCTCAAATCTTCGATATAAATATGCAGAGAATCAATTTCGGGCCTCATACCATGTGTATTCTTTTTGATCAAATTTCTGAACGTTAGAACATTATAGGACTGTGAGAATAATAGAGGGAGATTAACGTGATAATAAAAAGTGTTCAAAAATATAATATAAAGTGAAATTTAATCTAATCCACTCTAATGACTCTGGCAACCGAGAAATAAATGAAACCAACTAAAATGAAACCTTGAAAACGGACGGACTTTTCACTAACGAGCCCGTGTTTGACAAAAAAAAATAATTGAGATTCACCGAGTGGAACAATTTTTGGCCAAGCTCAAAGGTTAATCGCGCGTTAAGAAGCTTTTACGTTGCAACGATTACGTATGTGCCTGCGAGAAGAAAGAAATCTCGCTCACCCCGCAAACAATTTACATCGGGGAGGCATAGTTACAGTTTTACTAGTTACGGGAATAATACATTGTATGTGACAACATGTGCATAAATCTGGACAAAAGACGCCCTGCTGATAGGTCCCCTAAGTTGTAATGAGGCGTTGACGCCGGAATCCAAACGGAATATGTGGATATATGTGAAGGGGAAGTAACAATTATATTCCCCTTCGAAACTCGTAGTCAATTTTTCTTTTGGCTTTCTCCAATGAATGCCAAACTAACGAGGCATTTTTGCTGTAAGTATGTCTAAATTGTTTATTAAGCGCATGATTTTTCAAGCGATAAAAGTCGGAAATTCCAATATTCCTCGACAACCAATATTCACACATATACTACTTAACACGAGAGAGGGGGGAGAAAAAACGCAAAGACTGGTGTATACGCGGTACGTGTATAGTGCCGACGCAGTTTGTCGGCCAACCCCGTGGGGTCTAATTTACTGAGTGCGAAAACGACGGTAGGGAGGCCCGTAAGACACTGCTTATGCGGCAGTCGAAAAACGATAGTGCGCTAACGAGATAAATCGCGTACGCGTTCCGAAACCTTTTTTCCCCCCTGCTCTCCTCATCAGCGTGTGTGCTTGTATGTATGCGGGTGGAAAAAAGTGAGAAACCAGAAAAAAAAGATTACGTTCGGTTTGAACCACTGCGGAGAAAGTAAGAACAGATAATGCCGCGTGTCACGTGAAAAGGGTAAACGCTCTATGGTTTTTTTTCTCTCCACTCTTTATGATATCAGCGAGAGTTTCCTTGTCTTCGCGCGCGCGCGTGGAACCCCTCTAAATAATAAACGAGAGGATTTAAGCCCCCTGTACAGGCGTAAAAATATTCGAATCTGAGAAATTAGCGAGAAAGAGAGAGAGAGAGACCAGTTTTTTTGGGGGGTAACGGGTCGCTATGACTAAAAGGGTTGAATTAATGTCGCGATAAATATATGATTTAAGGTGCAAACGCGTGAGTTACCCAGCGGCTAATTTTTTATCTGAGGAACTGGCGAACCCCACCGTTTGTAATTTTCGAGGCGCGTACTCGACGACAAGCAACTCTCTCTCTCTCTCTCTCTCTCTCTGTGGACTTGGGGCTTGCGCGAGGGATTCTTTTTTAATGAGACTCTCGGTACTCTTAGATTAATTGGAAAACGTATTGTATGCTGGGTTGACGCTTGTATTCTTTTAGTTTTTTTCTTTAATTTGTTGTAAAAACAGATTTGGACGATTGTTTGGCATAATCGATAATTCCTTTCTACTTTACTAACGAATAACATTTTTTAATTTACGAATAAATACTTATTAAGCAGACATTTCATTTCATTTTTCTCCAAATGACTCTCAAATGATCTAACTGTCATTCAACTACCTGAGAAAAAGATGAAAAAGAAACGTAAAAAATGAGCATTAAAAGCAAGTAAAGTACACGTCGGCTTATTATTGCAACAGTTGGTGTGCACGATAGCGCAGCACGAAAAGCGAGAAGAAACGCAAAAAGATGAAGCCAAAGCAGAGGGGAAGCCAGAGCGCTTGGCGGACGCAAACTATTTAAAAAAGCGCGCGGCGCCAGCTCAAATTTTCGGCGGCACTAAATTACGCGAGGGCAGCGGCGAGCATCTAGGAAGAGCACCGAAAGAAAAGAAAAAAAAACGAAGGGCCTGCGCACCGCAACTTCTCGTTTACTTCCTGCTCTCTGGCCTTTACGCTCTTTTTCACGCGTTACACGCCATTTTTGGCCCGTCTTCTTTATTTCCAG